AACTGCTCGACTATGCGATAAATTCTCTTAAAACTATTCTGAGGACTGTCCGCTCAAAATTCGGTTCAAATGACAATTTTCACGGTGGAAATACTAGCACGGTAATTTCAAATGTTAGGCTTTATCCCGGTGTTTCCTGATTTACCGGTTCACTGGTCACCCTGTAATATCTGTCGTTCTAAAATGAATATTAGCTTTCACATCGATAAATTTATAATTACTCTCCAAGCATTCTTGTCTTAAGGCGTAGCATAAATTTGGCTCAGAAAGGATATAAACTACTTTTTATAAAACATAATCTGAAATAAATAAGAGATCATATTTTGGATGAGAATCTGTAAAATGCATTGATGAGATTCAGCTTCGCAAATGGAAGTGCGAGACCCATCGTGGGAGAAATTTCCTATTTAGTAAAAACCCCTCGATGTGGATCTCGCTGATAACTACTTACCGCATAGCGGAGGAGTAACCCCTGTTCTTAAAGTTCAATTCAGATGAATCGATGCTTCATGCTTTGCTGCATAGCCTTTTGCAATTAATTTTCCATTATGTTGATGGAAAGGCAGTCAAGGTACGCATGTCGTCTGCAGGGGATAACGTTTAATACGTGTGAGTTTATGATGTTCCACCAGAGGTCCGAATTGCAATCGAGCGTTGGTGCTGGGGAAACAGCATGTCATTCGGGAAAATATCCCTGCGGACTTAGGTTTCGACATATACACAGATGTACGGGGTGTATATATGGACGCACGACGTTTGCACAAAGTTGTTCAGATGGACTAGATCTATTTTAGGGTAAACAGTTCAGTTCAGAAATCAATTACCACCATTACCATGACCCATCGGTTGAGTGAACTCAGATCTGAACTGGTCACTCTAAAATAGGTTTAGCCTTTATGAATTATTTGCTGAAGACGGGAACTTTCTATCCAGTCAAGATATTTAGTTAAAACAAATAATTGAAAATGTAATGATGAGCTAGCCAACAGGTGAGCAAATTTGAGCTGTAATGTTTACCGTAGGAAAGGTCTAGTTCAACTTAACAACTTTTTCGAAGACAAAATCTTTCTATTTAGTCAAAATGATAAGTTAAAGCAAATTAAAAAAATATGACCTACTAGCACCACCTGGTGAGTGAATTCTGAACTGAACTGAAACCTTTGGCATAACTATGGAGGGCTACAGGGCACTAGGATTAATGTAGCCCACTTAGTACAATTATTTATTTTCCTTACTTATCAAAATTGTTCACTAATTGCCCAGTTGAGATGTTCGAAAAATAAATTTAGCCAATTTTTTGACAAATGTCACAGACGCCATTTTGAAAAAAAGCGCGTGACAAAATGATCAACTTGTAGTAAAAATGTGAATGATTGTCCATAGCATACAATAAGTTACATGAATTTCATGCAAATCCGAGAAAGTCAAGCCGCTTTTTTGGCATGGAACTGCTCAAGAAGATCTTCGAGCTTTTGTGAGGTTTCCTTCAATTAAATGAAGATCTATGTAATATAAGAGACTTTAAAAAATGTTCCACTTCTTCACGGTTTATTTTTCTTTTTCGTTTTAAGACTTTTAGCCGTGAGCATCTTTTTTTTACAAAGTTCCATGAATTGCTACGATGATTTTTGAAACTGTACGAAGTATCCAGAATATCTACCAAGTTGTATGAGTGTCTTTGATGTTGCCTAAAATTTTACGATGTCCTTGAAGTTTAAATAAGCTCCCTGAAGTTAAAGTGGCCTTCCGTAGCTAAGTCGGTAAAGGCGCAGCTGGAGGTGGCTAGGTTCCATTTCCGGTCCAGTCTAGGAAATTTTCGGGTTGAAAAAAGTTTCGACTTCCCTAGGCTTAATTGTACTTGGCACAAAATAATACAAAAATGGCACAGGCATCAAAAGCTCTTAATTAATAATAGCGGAAGTGCAACTAGAACGCTATGTTGAGAGCACGCAATAAGCTTGAAATGCGAATAAGTTGAAAAAAGAAGAAGTTGAAGGCAAATCTCTGATCGTCAACCAAATTTCCCGAGTCCTTACAAAATTAATTAAATTCCTCTAAAGTTCGCTAGTTTTCTATAAAGATTGATGAAGTTCTGCAAAATTAACTGAACTTTTGAAAACTAGCGCTAAAGACATGTTAAGACATTTCGTCCATCTCGCAGAAGATGTTTTCTAAATACACCTGCAGGGCTGGTAGCGAGTCACTTTTTAGTGACTTGGTCACTTTTTTCAAGCCAGTCACTAAAAAGTCTCTTTTGCACTTTTTTCTTATAATCAGTCACTATTTTCAACTTTTTTAGCATGAATTTATTTCAAGATTGATCATTCTTTGCTTTGCGACGTTTAATCGTCTTTCTCTATCTACAGGGTGTCTACTCATTTTTTCAAAATAAAATGACCTAAGTTTTACAGGTTTTTCCAGAACTATAACGGATAAATTCCAGGCTTATAATAAGAAAGCTGTTTTCTAAATACGTTAAAAATATGCTTTTTTTGGTAGATCAAAAATAACTGCAATTAACCTAAACATTTTTAAGACATGGCAATCAGTTTTAAAGAAACAGGTTAACAATCAAATCTATTGAATGTTGAAGTTTGACACTTACTTAATATCTCACTTGAATAAAGTTTAAAAAAAAACTTAGTTAATTTGAGTTAGTCCAAGATCTAAAAATATTAAATGTCGGGAAGTTTCGTATTCCATGTACAAGTTCAAGATATTGAAAAGTTTCAAAGTGTCAGAATTAAGGAAAAAATATGATTTATTTCAAGTTCGAAATTAACATTATGAAAGATTAGATATCTCCATTGCAGTCCATCAGCTTCACAACAATTGTAGGAACTTTGGAGAAGTTCTGAGGAATGAAAGGAAATGCTGGGAATTTCAGTGAATAAACAAAGCACAGGAACATAAGCGATGTTAACACGCTGAAAATATGGGAAACTTACTGGAAGCTTTAAGACCCTAAAAGTGGTTCTTTGAGCACCCGAAAATTTTCAGGAACTTTGATGAAGTTCGTAGAATTTCAGAGAACTTCGCAGGTGTCAAGCGAACTTGGGAAACTATAGAAAACTTGAGGGGTATTGTGCAAATTTTTAAGAAGTTCTAAGCACCTCAGAAAAGCTAGATCTAGAGATCTTTGGGGATTTTCAGATTTTAAGAGCAGTTCCCGTAACTTTAGTCCAGTCGTTTGGAGCAGTTTAAAAATCTATAATCGTAAATTTAGAATAAAAAAATCAGGATAGTTCCATGATGTGCTGAAAAAAAATCGAGAACCCTTAAGATGTTCCGAGAATTTCAGGGAAGTACAGAAACCTTCAGAGAATTTATGAAAACTTCAAAAAAATCTCAGGAACTTCACAGCAGTCCAGAGAATTTCAGGGAAATTTAAAGGTGTTTACGGGAATTTCATTCATATCCGAACTAAACCGAGATTTTCAATAGAATTGAGAGCTTTAGGGAAATTTCAAGACCATCAAGACAGATCAGAGTATCAAAGGGCAGTTCAAATAATTTCAAGGAAATTGTAGCAACCATAAAAAAGTTTCGATAAACTCAGGGTACTTCCGGAATCTTCAGCACAGCTTCAAAAGAATTTCTGGAACGTGATAAAAATTACTTGAACATCCGAAAAACGTGAGAGTATTTTAAGGATGTTATACTATATTATGGAGATTTCAAGAACATAAAAAAATGTAAAAAATTAGCTATGTTGGTAAGAAAACATCAACGAAGTTCAATCAATTAAAAAAAATACGAGAACTTTAAGCAAACTTCAAGGAATTGCAGAGGACTTCTAATAAATTTAGATATTTTTAGATAGTTTCATGATATTCAGTGAAGTTTCAGAATATTCCCATTCTTCAAATCCCAGCAAATTTGAAGCGACTTACAAGGAGTTCCGTGGAATTGTGGCGTATTTTCAGAATTATATGATTAATCTGGAAACGTCTGAAGCGCCAGGGAATTATGAACTTCAGGTTAACATAAGCTTAGGGAAAAGTAGTGAACGCTTATAATGGTTAGAATACTTAAAGAAAATTGTTGCAACATCAAGGCAAATCAATTTATTTCAGTAAAGTTGTGGGTACTTAAAAATACTGATAAATTCAAGGCAATCCAGAGAACTTTTAAAAAATTCAGTAATCGTTTAGGCAGATTTAATAATACCAGGAAAGTCTAGGCTATTGAAGAAGATTTAAATTAATGTCAATAAAGACACCAAAGACACGAGTTCAAATATCACCCCTGGACAAGTCACGCCTGGCTTCAGCCGCCAGTCAGATGTACTTTAGATGTCCTAAAGTTCCGTACCATGACGTCGATGAGACCGCGCTAACCCAATGACGTGAATAACTCATTTTACGTCCTTGATGACATGCATTTATCATCAGATTAACTTGTTTGTACATGAGACATAATCTTCTTTGCATAAAACCGCAAAAACTTCACCAGGTTGTTAATTCAAAACGACCTCGGGTTTTCACAAAAAAGATTTCCCTTCGCCGGGGCAAACAACTCCAAATGAGTTCGGCAACCGAGCGAGTGGAGGCCATTACTTTTTAACCGCGTTATAATTATGTTCGCATAAATCAACCCCGTGTACTGAGCAGAGCGAGCGAGAGCGAGGGGACATTCTGCAAACTTTTACATTGTTTCGCATTTCCGTGCGCGATTTTTCCGGTAGTACCTCTAAGGTCTACAATTGGGTCGTATAATTCCGTTTTAGAATCGCAGTGTCCGCAATTAATGCCCTTCCGTGGGGCGTTTGTCGTCGTTGATCCGCTTATAGAATCGAGCACGTTGGAAATAGTCAAGCTCAAGTTCTACCCTGAGGTGTTCTACTTTGGTGTGGCATGTGTGGGAAATTGAACGACCGCTGCCACTGTTCAAGTTTTCATTCTAATTAATAGCCGTTCGACATGCATATTCCGACTTTAATTAAACATGACACATTTATTCAATTCTAATTTTTCCAATTCCATGTCCTTTCCTTTCAGATCGTGTTCAACCAATGCTCCCCAAAAGGGACGGATCTCGTGAGCACGAAACCCCCCTCGATGACGGTTGCCCTGGTGAAAGTAACCCGGAAAGCGCCTACTCAACCAAAAGGAATCCATCCCCTTCTGGCAGCGGTGAGCAAACAAGTGGCCTCGGTGATGCAAAGCAGGAAGATGATGATGATGATGGTCCCAGTCACCAGTCCGGGGTCAACGAGGACGAGCCGCTGCGACATGGTGCCCAGGAGCAGAAGCAGGACTGCTGTTCCGCCCATGCTCGACAATAAGACCATCAGTAAAGTGAAGCTCTTCTAGCGAGGGGCTGGAGGAAGATTGGAACCGAAAATGCTAACAAGGCTCGCGATGGGCGACACTTTCAATGCCAAAAAGTACAGAAGATAGGCACCTCTATCCAAACAGCCATCATTTTATAACACGAGCCAAACATGAAACCAATATTGCAGCATATATGAGAGCGGTTGTTTTGCCACAGGACGACGATGGCGGCATTAGAGTCCCGAATGAAGCAACGGTGGGGTAGTGTAATTCAGTGGAAAAAATTGTCATGTAGAAAATAATATCATAAATCGAAACCAACCCCGCGCAGCCACCTCTCGCCCAACCAACTGATTGGATGCACGTTTGTTGAATGAAAAATGTTTAAAACACAAAATCTCACACCATGCATGCCAGGGGGAGGGGGAGGTCCGGGATAGGGGCGCTGCACTTTCCAACCACATAGTAGGCTGAGACTGAGACAATGTAAATCGATTGAATTGGTATGCTGTTCGGCGTAGTGTTCGTTCTTTTTTGTTTTGCTTTTGTTTATTTTGAATTGTCATTTTTATTGTCAACATGTTTCAACGATCCCAGATCGGAACGGATCGGATGTCAGCAATTTGGATGAATGGTTTAACATTTGTAGAGCATGGTAAATTATTGTTATTGTCGATGGTTCAGTGGAATCACAAACAAGGATAAATATACATACGTAAATGTCTGAGGTGCATGATTAGAAGACTTATACTAGACCTTATTTGTCGAATATTGTAAATTAATTATTGATCACGTGGTATGGTTGATAAATATAAACTATTGTTGTAAGTGATTGGAGGCTTTCTATGCTATGATTATCCGAAACATTGACCGATAAATAACCAATTTTAACTACAACACTCACACTAAATGTCGCGAGTTAGTCACGAATGACCTAAAATCTAAAAATAACTTCAAACATTTGACACGTTGCTTCACGCTGATCACCGCGAATCGACGTGTCAAATGTTTGAAATTATTTTTTGATACAGCCCTTAACTTAATGGAAATTCAAAGAGATAACTTCAGTACAGTTCCATAGACTTAAGTAAAATTTAGAGAGCTTCACTAAAGATCAGAGAAGAGGGTAATTTCATTAAGTTCAGGAAACTGGCAGGAATTTAACAGAACTTTCAAGAAGATCCATGAACTCCAGGACCTTACTTTAAGTTACATGACATACGGAGCAGTTCAGAGAAATTCAAGGCAGTTTCACGAACATCAGGAAAATATCGGAAGTTTAATGAAAGTGCAGAGCATTTAAGAATAGTTAAGAGATATTTTGAGATATTCTGAGAGCTTCCAAAATTATTTGAAGACATCAGGACGGCCACATTAACTCTAGAAAAAATACAGGAAACTTAAAAAGATCCGAAAAAAAAGAAAGTTCCTACAAGTTCGATAAAATTGCAAAAGATTTAGAGAAAATCCATTAACATCAGAAAAATGTCAGGAACTTCTGTAAAATCTTATCTAATCAAATCTCATCTAACGCCAACACAGTCAGTTCATGAAAGCATCCTGGAAAGTGAAAGATATACCTCCATCCTTTTTCTTGTCTATGTGGTATATTTTATACATCAGAGATGCGCAAAATATATCAAAACGGCCAGGCCTACTGTGTAGCATTTAGGGGACAAGATGATTTAGAAACATCGGGCCTGTACAAATCAAAGATTTAAACACGATGCTTCAGAATCCAATAAATGGATGAAACGTGCACATCTCGTACCGTACGTTCCGTTGTTATAAATGATTGGTCGTTTTCCTTTTGTGTGCCTATATTTACCGTAGCTAGGGATAGGAAAGGAAATATTGATGTAGTTGTAGTTGGGGTACGGTATTAAGTCAGGATACGCCTCAACCAGGCGATACAACCAAAAGGAATTTGATAATAAACCCACGATCTTATGCACAGTAAGCAAACCCAGCAGCCGCTAAGCTAGCCGAGTTCCTCAATTTGGTTTCTAAGTACTGTATTAGTGAAATTTATATGGAACATAATGTAACGAGCTAAATAAATAAAAAGGAAGGATCTCACCCGAATAATCCTTGAAACTCCCTGTTAGGGAAAGTTAGATCAATAATTGTGTGCGTCACTGTAGAGTAAGGAATCTGATAATGAGTGACCACGAACGCACGACCGTCCTTGTGTATGTAGCCGAGAGCAATAAGCTATCAGTAATACGCTCTTACAGCATCACCAATAGGTAGTTCATTTAGTTACCCACCGACCGCCGACGGTACCGATCGACCGTGTGATCACGTCGTGTATTAATAAATTTACAGTCCATTCGCGTCAAGTTATAAGTGCGTTTGAAAATATAGTTCTTCTTGATCGTATCACCGGGTTTATTAATTTAGTCCGAACAATTGACTCGCGGGTGCGCACGGATTGTGGATTACCCAAAATTTTGAAAAAAAAAAATTAGTTGCAGAAAAGATTCGGAGTTGTAACAGCCGCTGAACATGAAGTAGCTCTGCTAGTTCTAGTGCAGTTAGCGCAATCGGAATGTTTCCCGCTGGAATTATCGGATCTTGCAGCAAAGAGTGAGGTCAGGCCATCATCGAAGCTTCGTAATCTGAATCCGTGGAATTCACATGAGATTACATCTCTTCCGAACCTGATCCATCGAGGAACAGATACAGCATCCAACTCGCAAAGATTGGTTCTGAACTCCAACCATCGGGACTGAAGCTCATTGCTTAGTGGTTCATCCCAGGAGTACTTCGCCTTCCAAATCTCAAGTCATCAGTGAGAACTTCGATTTTCACCCGCACTTCACAATATTTATCGTACACTTCATCTAATTTCTTCATACGAAACTGCACTACACCTCTATCACGTTCTTCTTCGTACGTTGATAAGAACTCTTCAATGTTCTCCAACGTAATCCAAGCATGACGTTCCTGCTTAACAAGCGCTCTCAGATCAGACACTGGCATAATTACTGGATTCAGATTACGAAGCTTCGATGATGGCCTGACCTCACTCTTTGCTGCAAGATCCGATAATTCCAGCGGGAAACATTCCGATTGCGCTAACTGCACTAGAACTAGCAGAGCTTCTTCATGTTCAGCGGCTGTTACAACTCCGAATCTTTTCTGCAACTTATTTCGTGGTTTGCAATTAAAAGAAAACCGGCGTAACCAAGCGGTCTGACGAACAAGGTTTAATAGAGTCGAACGTAACGTGAAGATCTCACTTGGAATCAGAATCTGTAGGACTGCTGCCACTAGCGGTTTCTCCTCCAGGATCACCGAATCGAACTGCTGATCTGGAACCTGCGCGTTAATTGGCCAGTACTGTGTTTCCTTCTTCAGCCATTCTGGACCATTCCACCACAGAGTGTTGCTCGCTATCTGAACTGGAGTGGCTCCTCTCGAGATAATGTCAGCAGGATTTTCTTTTAATTGCAAACCACGAAATAAGTTGCAGAAAAGATTCGGAGTTGTAACAGCCGCTGAACATGAAGAAGCTCTGCTAGTTCTAATGCAGTTAGCGCAATCGGAATGTTTCCCGCTGGAATTATCGGATCTTGCAGCAAAGAGTGAGGTCAGGCCATCATCGAAGCTTCGTAATTTCGCTTAGCTGTCGGCGTGCTCCAACGAAATTGGTCGCATTATCGCAGTATATTTGATCCGGCCTTCCGCGCCTGGCAACAAATCTCCTTAGAGCGGCAAGAAATGCCTCGGCCGTAAGGTCCATTACGACTTCAACGTGGACGGCCTTGCAGACCATGCAAACGAACAGACAGACGTAGCAACTACTACAAATTGTCCGCTGAAGCTGCTCGAGATTCGCTGCGGTTAAATCGCTGAAAGGACACATGAGGAAGGTCATCGGCAACAGGATGCTGAAGCAAGACGAAATGCTTACCGTTGTGACTCAGATAGAGGCGTGCCTTAATTCGAGACCTCTGACTCCCCTGAGCAACGATCCAAGTGACCTAGAAGTGCTGACTCCAGGACACTTTTTGATACAACGTCCACTCACTGCGATACCCGAGCCAAGTCTTCTCGAGCTACCAGAGGGTAGGCTCTCCAGATGGCAGCAAGTGCAGCGCTACAGTCAGGTGATCTGGAAGCATTGGTCAACTGATTACTTGTCAAACCTCCAGAGTCGCAACAAATGGACAAGGCACAGGAATAACCTGGACGTCGGAGCTATGGTTCTATTGAAGGAGGACAACATTCCACCCCTCAAATGGAAGCTGGGACGCGTGACAGAGATCCACCCCGGTCCAGACGGAAACGTTAGAGTTGTCACCGTGAACACGAAGCATGGTTATTTTCGGGGAGCTATTTCCAAGATTTGTATTCTGCCTATCCGCGATAACCAATCCGATGAGTCGCAATAATGCATCACATTGAACTAAGTATTTCTGCCCCCGTTTGGAGCATTTTTAGGCATCCTGCGATATCTGCGATGTCGCTATTGCCTGGGGGCAACCCTACAGTTATGTATTCAATTATTTTGTATGTCCGGGAACATTCTGATGCGTTCTCCTTCGACAGTGTCCATCGATAATACGAGTTCTGCATGGAAACATCATGTGCTCCGGAATACACCATCGCTTCATCATTTGAATTTCATCGAAGCTAAGCATGCCCCCATTGGGGCAACCGTTGGCAATCCCGTGGCACTCTAGTCACATCTGCCGAGGGGGCCGACACCTAAGTTACGTTTCATCTATCATATATTGAATTTCGGATCCCAATCGCTGTTGTTCTTTGACAGATATGGATCAACTCGCTAGCGGCCATCGCTTCGATCACTGAAGATCAACTCAGCTAAGTATCGCCCCATTTGGGGCAAATTGGCGGTTCACGACACTCCATGTCGTATATACCAGGGGCCGCAGCACTCCCAATAAAGTTAAGAAAAGTTTCTTTGATCTTGATTTTGGAAAACCGCTACTCGTTGCCAGCCCTCAGAAAGAGATGCATCAAATGCAACAGTCCAGCATCTCTCAGTATCACTATAAGCCTGCTGGATTCACACCATCGTGATCATCTTGGGATCTTCGTTGCCCATCAGCTAAGACAGCTCCCAACAAACATTTTTGCATTAGTATTATTGTGTGGCAAATGCAATCATACCATAGAGGTAACTCTAAGACTAGAAAGTCCCGAAATAACGTGCTCAACTTTTTGGCTCAGCTCTGGTACTATCTTCGGTCCCAAACTAATCGATGCACCCCTCGAAACATAGGAAAATCCACTAACCCCTCATTTTATCTGTCAAACTTTCATAGCGAATCAAAAAAAACATAGTGTAGTACTAGAATTTCGACTAGAATGGGGTACGTTAATCGATTTGTTTGGAACCAATAGGCTAGTCAAGTAGTGAGCCAATTTAAAATCGTTAGTTTCCACCCGTACCCTACCCGTACCGTAGTAGGCTGTGTATAAAAGAAAATGATTTACTTAGTTTGACAGTTGCACCATGACGAAGTGGCAGCGTATTCGTGATCTGTCCCACGCACAAACGTCGCAAAAAGACATTTCAATCGCCGTGGGAGCGTCCCGTTGGACCATCAAAAGGGTTTTAGACCGAGAAAAGAAGTCGACAACTATCCGCGAAGGGTGCCACAGGTCGTCCGAGGTCAGCTCGGGTTCCGAGGGTTATCGCTGTTATCAAAAGGAAGATTCGGTGAATCCAGTGCGTTCAATATGGAAAATGGCAAAGGAACACAGGATAAGTGACTTTACGGCACGGAAGATCGTAAAGAAAGATTGCGGGGCGAAGTCGAGGGCACGAAAAAAACTCATAAAATTACCAACCGCATC